GATACATTTTTAAATGTGCTAGCTGTGTTCTGATAAAACTTTATCTATAAAAATGAAATTTGAGTTTCATATGATTTTTATGCCTCAAAATATTTTTCTTCTTTTGATCTTTTTTTCCTGCTATTTAAAAATGTAAAAACTACATTCTTACCTTGCAGGTCATACATAAACAGGTGGCTGGTCAGACTTGGCCCCTGGGTCACAGTTTGACAGTCCCTGCTCTATGTGAATAAAAAGCTCCCAAGTAAGCGGTAGGATTCCTGTCGGACTGTTGTGTTTTCATTCTAAGTAATGCTTTTACTTAGGGAACTAAATAAATAGTTCCCTACTATTAAATTAAATAGCAAAGTAAATAAGATCACACAGTACTGAGCCTATAGGGCTTTGATAGATTTTAAAATGTCAAAGGTTATATCAGAGGTTCCTCAGTTAATGGGGAATTGGGGCTAATGCCCAGTTTATCTTACTCTCAAACTGGCACCTTTTCTCTTTTTAATTATACAAGGTTAAATTCCTTCCTTCCTATTTTGTTTCAATATGCCTATCTTATTAACGTTTAAAAATTGGCATATATGTATCCTAAATTTATTTATTTTGTGATGAACTTGCCCTGGTACTCATAAACAAAATGCCCCCCCCCCCGGCACAAGCATTATATCATTTTTAACTTCATGCTGTCCCCACTTACAGGATCTAGGGATTTTTCTTCTTAGTTCACAATTTTGAGAATACAGCCTCTTCTCTTCATCATCTTTGCTTCTGTATTGTCTTCCACATAACCCTGTTAGCCAGTTAGAACACAAAACACATTTCAAAGCATATTCTCTTTTTCTACCTGTTGTAGCTTAGCATACTAGTCAGGCCCCTCTTAGAATACTCAGAATTTGTCTAATATGTAGAGCAGTGTCGATATATACAGTCTATGACTTTGTTTGGTGTTATGTTCACACAGTTAACTCGAGCCATACTTGAATGATTATGTAGTTTGTATTCTCTAATCATAAGTGTATTTTCCTTCCTTAAGGTATATAATTGAAGTTGTTCTTTGGCAATATGCAAAATCCAGTGCTGTGGAAGTTCTAGAAGAGAGGGCTTGAATTTAGGTATATGCTGCTGTTGCCTCAGTGAGTGGGTAGTAACATAGCTGCATATAGTCATTCATTCAGGGGATACTTTTTCTGCCTACATGTCTTCATGATGTTTTCCCAACACACTAGTACACCATCCAGGAAAAAAACAAACAGAAAACAAAAAAAACAAAAAAAAAAACCAGGCAATTTATTTCTTTTTACATGCAGAGAGAGAATAACCTTTGTTTTCAAATATAAAATAAAAATAAGGATTGGTTCTGAAAGAAGCTATGAAGTAATAGAAAATCATCATCCAAAGAGAATTTGCCTAGTTACTTTAAAAAAAGTTACGAATTTTTAAGAAATTTTTTACACAAATTTCATTATTTTGATAATTTAGAAACTTTTCCCCATGAGTATTATAAGCTTATTTTCCTATCTTAATGACGTGTATGCCCTATGTCTGGAAGATGCTTCCCCTAAACTTTTCCATTTCTGGCTCATTTCAACTTGAACATCATCTCTTCAGAGGGCCTTCCTTGATACACTGTCTAAAACAGCACCTCCACCTTCCCAGTCTCTAACACCCAGTTTTATTTTCTTCAAAGCACTTATCACCATCTGAAATTAGTTTATTTATTTATTTGTCTCTTTCTGTATTAAAACAGTAAGCTCTCTGAGGTGAGAGATCTTGCCTTCCCTATTATCTGTCTATCTGTACTACTCAGAACATTTCCTTTCATATAGTAGGCCTTAAGTATGTAATTTATATGTGGCTGGAAGGATGGATAATTGAAAGTATGTCTAATGCATGATCTGTAGGAATATTTGATAGGCTCACATGTATTGAGAGTCACCAAGAAAGAATACAGTGAGTAACTTTACCCAAATTTATTTCACTGTAGAACTACTTTTTCTTTAAGCATTTAGCTGTATTAGACTTCCACAGAAGACATTTTGGAAATGTGACAGATGTACTGATATATTTAATTGTTTTTTTCCTTTTATAATAATTTCAAACTTATATACAAATTGTAAGAATAGTACAGATAATTTTTCCTAAATCACTTGAGTGTAAGTTGCTGACATTATACTGCATCACCTCTGAATTCTTTAGAGTACATTTCCTACAAAGACATTCTGCCACATAACCAGGATAAAATAATCACAATCAGGAATTCAATGTTGATAGGTTACTACCATCTAACCTACAACCCTGTTCAAGTCATGCCAGTTGTTCTGGAATTCATTGGTGAGCATCCCTAGGAAGGAGTGAGGCACAGAGTAGGCAGCCTCAAAATCTGCATATGTCTTTCCTTTCATATCTTTGATCACTAAGTTCCTATGTGTAGAGGAGACTCCGTAGTGCCTAGTGGAAAGTAATAGCTGACATGGGAAGTTGTTGAGGTGATATTTCAGATTTGGAGTTTGAGTTCTACCAAACACATCAGAATAAAGCATTCAGAAAAAGACTATTTTGGGGACTGAGAAGAAAGGAATGCAGGGTGGATTATGGAAGGATAATCAATCCCTGCATTAGGAAAGAGTAAGGAGATGTATGTTCTCATTTCAGTTTTTCCACTAACCAACACTTACCCATGGGAAATCACTTCACTTCTCTATCAGTACTTTTCTAGGTTATCTGTATTTGTATATCCATAAGTTCAATTTCTTTTCATATTCAAATTTCAAAATAAAATAAGCATTAATTGCATTTTTCTTCTTTAAAGACTTAAAATGGAAAGAAGACTAATTTTGCCACTCTTTATGTGATACTGGGCATCATCATTTCATCTATATATTGGTGATATATATATATTTTTTCTTGGTAATATTTCTCCTACATGCTGCTCATCATTGTTATGTACCACATGAAGTGGTGGATTTAAGCACTGTAAGAACATTGGGTATTGTTTTCATCATGAATAACCCAGCTGTGTCAGAGTTAGATATTGTTTGATGTTGCACAAACAAAAACGTCCTTTTTAAAATGCTTTTCTGTTTCTTAAAATTTATTGAGAGGTTCAGTTCTACAGTATGTAAGCACAGTCATGAATCATTTAAAAGTGATCACATTGAAGACCGTAATTCAAAGAGTCATGTACCACAATGTTCATTGCAGCTCTATTTAACAATAGCCAGGACATGGAAGCAACCTAAGTGTCCATCGACAGATGAATGGATAAAGAAGATGTGGCACATATATACAATGGAATATTACTCAGCCATAAAAAGAATCAAAATGTTATTTGTAGTGAGGTGGATAGGCCTAGAGTCTGTGATAGAGAGTGAAGTAAGTCAGAAAGAGAAAAACAAATACTGTATGCTAACACATATATATAGAATCTAAAAAAAGAAAAAAAAAGTGGTTCTGAAGAATTTCGGGACAGGACGGGAATAAAGACACAGATGTAGAGAATGGACTTGAGGACACGGGGAGGGACAAGGGTAAACTGGGACGAAGTGAGAGAGTGGCATGGACACATATATGCTACCAAATGAAAATAGATAGCTAGTGGGCAGCAGCTGCATAGCACAGGGAGATCAGCTCCGTGCTTTGTAACCACCTAGAGGGGTGGGATAGGGAGGGTGGGAGGGAGGCGCAAGAGGGAGGAGTTATGGGAACGTATGTATATGTATAGCTGATTCACTTTGTTATAAAGCAGAAACTAACAACAACAACAAAAATAATTCCAGGAGAGAGAATGAATTGAGGTGAGGGACAGATGAAGATGAATGGCAAAATGTTGATAACTGTTAAAGTTGGGTGATGGGTATGTGGGTTCATCATTCTCTTTACTTTTGTATATGTATTTGAAAATTCCCATATTAAAAAGTTAAAAAAAAAGTGATCACATTATCTTTTTCTTTCTTCTTAACTTTTCCAATTATTTTCCTTGTATTTGGTGTTATAGAGAAAATAAATTAGGGGTTGGGCCAATTAAACATGCATGTAATTGGTGCTCAAGAGTCAGAAATAGGAAGTTATTAATTTAAACTTTTTTTATTGGAGTATAGTTGCTTTACTGTGTTGTGTTAGTTTCTGCTGTACAGCAAAGTGAATCAGCTATAACTATACATATATCCCCTCCTTTTTGGATTTCCTTTCCATTTAGGTCACCACAGAGCATTAAGTAGAGTTCCCTGTGCTATATAGTAGGTTCTCATTAGTTATCTATTTTATACATAGTAGTGTATATATCTCAATCCCAGTCTCCCAACATCCCACCCCGCCTTCCTCCCTTGGTGCCCGTATGTTTGTTCTCTACATCTATGTCTCTATTTCTGCTTTGCAAATAGGTTCATCTTTACCATTTTTCTAGATTCCACATATATGTGTTAATATTCGATATTTGCTTTTCTCTTTCTGACTTACTTCACTCTGTATGACAGTCTCTAGATCCATCCATGTCTCTGCAAACTGATGTTTTGTATACCAAATTATAAATATATTTTATACTTAAGCCTAAAGTAAAACTACAAAGTGGCTAGAGAAACTTTTGCAATTGGAGATGTCTACTTTCATATTTAACAGAGGCTATATCAAAGTTGGAAATTGTGACTGTTAGAATTGGATTTTTATAAAGGTGAAATAGAGTTTAATGTTTCTTATTTTTATATTTCTAGCCAAAAAATGAAATATACAAGAACAATCAGATGAAGTCTTAGAAAGCCTCAAGTGCATCAGTGCTAGCTAGTTTGATTCCTATAAGTTACTTGGTTCTTAGGTATGGCATGGATAGTTCTTGAGTGTGTAAGATTCTATCCATGTCTCTTCCTAAATAAGGAAGTTACTTAAATGAATAAGTCTAATTTTAACGGTTGAGTGAGTGTGAAATTAAGAATATCCTAAAGGAAAGAAAATGTCCAATATATTTAAAACTAGTTTACTTCTCCAGTTTAGCTCTATTTTTTGTTGTTCTCTTGCAGTAAACATTGCTATCTTCAGAAAATAAGTTAAGGAATGAGAGGCAAGGAAGAAAGGACGTTCATCCTGGAAGGACCCAAAGCACTTTGAAATTTAAATGAATGTAATGATAGCTGCTAAAACCGCCTTTGTCACCAAAATGGATGAAGTACTTCAAATTTAAATGGTAACCAGATTTATCATATCATGTTACATTTCCACCAAGAACTTTAGATGACTTGAAAGGGTTTATTTTTAAGTTTAAATATTTACCTTACAAATACCAAAGTGTAGATAGAGCGGATAATTTTGTAACTTATTTAGCATAGTCAGGATTTTATTTTGCCTCTTAATGCTTGACCCCTGATATTAGCCAAAAGAATGTTGCTTTTTTCCCAGGTTATGAACTTCTTAACACAGAAACAGGTAAGCTTATTTGAGTAAGAATATGGCATAATACTAGTATACTTATAGGTCCGTCCTTTACCAGATATTTTTTCCTTTCGTAGAAATAACCCAGGCAACGTAAATGGTGGTATCCTATCACACATGCAAATGGTTTTTACTTTTGTTTTCATATTATTTTTTAGTTTCCTTATGTGACATCTGGTCTCTTGATCTTTTTCCTTTCATATCTGACATCTTATTTTAATTTAATCTTTATTTTATCCTTTGCCCCTGTTTCTTAGGAATTTAAGTTTATAAAAGATACAAGGTTTTAAGTCTTTATGTCATTAAAACAAAAAAAGACACAAGGATCCAAAATAGAAAAGGAGAGAGAAATTTGAAAAGATTATAAAATTATTTCTTATTATGAAATTGCAGTGACTGTTACATTTTAAGTAGAGTGGAAAGCAATTATAGAAAGACTTAAAGATTCTTTGTCAGTCTTCTTAAATCTCCTTGATCTTAGGCCAAAATTGTTTCAGTACGTGTTTTGTAAAGACTCAAATGTTTACAATTTTTTAATCACATCCTAGTGAAGAATTAGAACTTTTATTCATTGGAAGTCTATTAATTTGATTTTGAGGTATAATCATTTGTTTGCTTGAGTCAGTGTGTCTTGGTAGTGAGTGGGTGTAATTGAGTACAACTGGGTCCTTGCTGTGAAATCAGGGCATGTGAAAAATCAGTCAAATACAGTATCCATTACTAGTCCTAATGATTCTAAGGAATGCAGGACCTATTATTTCAAGAAAATGATTTAAATTGGCAAGTGTAACCCAGGATAAGTAGTATGTAAGGAATGAATGTTCTAATCACTCTTCCCTGTGTTAACATTAACCTGGATAGAAAATACCTTGATTTTTTTAAAAAAATTATCCAATTATTGGTTAAACTTCTACTTATGGCATAATTAGAACTTTCCATGTTCTTTTCCCTACCAACCATGTACCAGCATGTGGCCTTTTAAAAATGTCCAGCAAATTCTTTCTAGTCCTGAACCATTAAAAAATTAAAGTTGGAGAAAGTAACTTTTGAAGCACAGCAGAAATTTAAGTGCTGAATGTTCACTCATACAAGCAAGATAATACGCAGAAAGTCCCTGGGGAATTCCCTGGCAGTCCAGTGGTTAAGACTCTGCGCTTTCACTGCCCTGGGCCTGGGTTCGATCCCTGATCAGGGAACTAAGATCCCACAAGCCACGTGGTGTGGCCAAAAAGAAAAGAAAAGAAAGTCACCAAACGTCTCTGTCTTCTCCATTAATGATCTGAGTTTTCTTTACCCGTTTGATTATATTTGATTCTATAATCTCATATAACCACAGGTTCATTAATGAACCAAAAACAAACAACATTATCAAAATTTTTATCATGATACTTTTACCACTCCTTATCAAACTCTTAATTCTATTCAAATTCATCTCTCAGTGATTTTTGGTAACCATGGATAGGATCATTGAAATCTATAGGCAGTGGATTTTTTTAATCATTAATTTCCACTTTTTTTAACTACCAAATTTGTTTTTAGTCTCATAATATTAACAAGGAACAGATTAAATTAGAACTTGACCTCTCTACAAAATAAAACAAAAGAATTGCCTTGATTCTCCCATCAAGTCCAGTTCAGAGGTCATGTAATTCACCTACATGAGACCACCTGAATTACATATTATTTAATTTTTCTGGCCCCATCTAAGCTGGGTGCCTCCAAAATCCCAAATCTACTGTGGCTTTTGATGAAGGAATGGAATCAGACTTCTGATTGTGCAACTGGCAGAATTTCTAATTTGTACAATTAGAAATTCATATTTCTAACTGTGCAAACTATCATGGCCACTTTGAAGAGGCTGAAATTCAAAAGATGGGTTCTAGCTATGTTAAAGTTGATCCAAACACCCAGTTTTATCTAAGTTCAGTTCATTAGCTTAAAATTATGGTTCTTCGGAGTAAGGGAAGTGTATACTTGCAGACAGTAAGACCACTCTAAACAATGTATCTATCAGGAATCTTAAAATTCATAAAGCTTGATAGGCTCCATTTAGGACAACTGTCCTTATGGAGGGAAGCCTAAATGTAATTTGCCCAGACAAAAAGGAATTAAAAATAATAGTAATTAATGTGTATTGAGTGATTACCATATGCCAAGCATTCGAATTAGTGCTTAATATACATTATCTGAAGCTTCACCACTCTATTTGACATGGGTCCTATTATTAAATATATCCATCTTACATACGAGGAAACACATTCTCAAAGAAGTTATGTAAATTGCCCTACATCAAGTTGCTAGTTCAAGGTAGAGCCAGGTCTATCTGACTCCATGACCTGAGCTCTTAACTAGGAGTTTATTCTAGTTTACAAACATTCAATATTTCAAAACTTCAACTTGTGAAGTTTTTATTTACCTAGTGGCAGATAAGGAGAGGTCTTTTTTTTTTTTTAAGCAAAAGGTCTTATTAGCAGCATTCTCATTTCAGCTTTGTAAAATTATGTTCCCTTTAGATACACAGTATTTTTCTTTTGCAACATCAGTTTTATTTTGTCAATAATTTATCATTGTTTTGATTATGTTCTTAAAGTGTTAGTTATTATTTAATGGAAAAGACAACTTAATCTACTGAGTAAAGGTTAAATTACTTGAAGATGATATCATTAGACCCGCATTTTATCTGAGATAACAGAAGACAGAGAAAGATAGGAGACATGGGTGAGGAAAAAATGCAAAACTGACCTCTTTACTCAGCTGTCCTCCCCTGAAGTATTATTTGCCTTTCTCTTTATCCCAAGAAAATTCTTCCTTGTTTTTCAGTCTCAGTAACTGATACTGTTACTAAAAACTAAAATAGTAATGAATCTGGAAACCAGTTTGTCTTTTTTTAAATTTTTATTTTATATTGGAGCACAGTTGATTAACAATATTGTGTTAGTTTCAGGTGTACAATAAAGTGATTCAGTTACGCATATACACGTATCTATTCTTTTTGAAATTCTTTTCCCATTTAGGTTATTACAGAATATTGATCAGTGTTTCCTGTGCTATGGCTATACAGTAGGTCCTTGTTGGTTATCTATTTTAAATATAGTAGTGGCGTAAATTTTCTGTTAAATTTATATACAGTCCTTTTCAAATAGGTACTTCTTGTCCAAATGGTAGAAAACTAAGTACATTAACCTATTATCAAAGTTTAAGATGGTAAAATTTATCATCAAGACTCAACATATTAAAGATATCAGTTCTCCCTAATTTGATATATAGGCTTAACTCAATTCCTAAAATCCTGGCAAGATTTTAAAATTTATGTGGAAAGGCAAATTAGAACAGCTAAAACGATTTTGAAAAAGAATAAAAAAATGGAAGGAACTACTCCACCTGATTGCAAAATTTATATAGCCACAATACTCAAGACTGGTATTGGCAGTAGGATAGACACATAAATCAATAACAGAATAGATAACCCCACACAAGTATAGCCAGCTAATTTTTTTTTCCTAACAAAAGTGTAAAGGCAATTCAATGGAGAATGGATTGTCTTTTCATCAAATAGTGCAGAACAATTGAATATTCATGGGGGTGGAAAAAAAGAACCTCAGCCTAAGTCTCACACCTTATACAAAAATTAACTCAAAGTGGATCATAGATTTAAATGTAAAACTATAAAACTTTTTAGAAGTTTTATATGGGAGAAAATCTTTAGGATCTGGGGCTTAGTGAAGAGTAGTTAGATAGTACAGCAAAGCACAATCTATAAAAGAAGGAAAAATGGGTAAGTTGGACTTGATCAAAATTTAGAACTTTTACTCTGTAGAAGACCCAGTTAAAAGGATGAGAAGACAAAACAGTCGTATGTAGAATACTTAAAGTACTCTCAAAACTCAACAGTTAAAACAATCAATTAAAAAATGGGCAAAAGGCATGAAATATTTCACCAAAGAGGATATATTCTTAATAGCATTGGCAGATGAGCATATTAAAAAGATGTTCAACATCACTTGCTATTAGGGAAATGAAAATTAATGCCATGATGAGTTATCACTATACACTTGTTAGACTAGCTAAAATAAAAAATAGTAGCAATACCAAATGCTGGTGAGGGTGCAGAGAAACTAGATCTTTCATATATTGCTGGTAGAATATAAAATGGTACAGACACTGGAAAATAATTTGATAGTTTCTTTAAAAATTAAATGTACACTTACCATATGATGCAGCAATCCCACTCTTGGGCATTAAACCCAGTAAAATGGAAACTTATATCCACACAAAAACATGTGCATTGTTTTTCATACCAGCTTTATTAGTACTAGCCACAGATTGTACCAACCAACATGTTCTACAATAGGTAAACAGTTAAACAAACTGTGGTATATCCATACCATGGAATATGATATCAGTAATAAAAAGGAATGATCTACTGATATACACCACAGCTTGGACGGATCTCAAGAACATTATGCTGAATGAAAAAAGCCAGTCTCAAAAAGTCACATAATATATTATTCCATTTATATGACATTCTCAAAATGACAAAATTATGATGATGGAGAAAAAGACAGTTGTTGCCAGGGGTTTGGGAAGGTTGAGGGGTAGGTGGATGGGTGTGACTTTAAAGAGATAGCACCAAGGGGTATCTTTGCAGTGAAGGGATAGTCTATCTTGATTGTGGTGATAGCTAGAGTAATCTACATGTGTCATAAAGTGACAGTGAATACACATACATTGTACCCATGTCAATTTCCTGGTTTT